CCCTTCATAAATAACCACTGTTAACATTTTCATTCAACCAACACATCTTTATTGATCTCCTGCACTGTTCCCGGCCCTGTCCTTGATGATGAATATGCTGGAGATGGTTCCTAACCTCATGTGGCTTCTAGCTTGAGTGTGTGTGTATGTGTGTGTCTCCTCCTGGGTTTGTAAACTGCCTGTACCATACCTAGCTATATGATTTCAGGCAAACCACTTAACTCCCGAAGGCTCGGTTTCCTCATTGGCAAAATGGGTATAAAAATAGTAGCTAATATATAGCGTTGTTGGAGGGGATTAAGTTTGATAATATAGGTTAAATAACTTAGAATAAGCACTCAGTAAAAAAAAAAAGGCTGCTACTATTGCTATATGTATTATATAAATATTTGCTTTTATATAAACAGGATTATACTATTGATACTTATATACAACTACGGTCTACTCCTTGAACCCTTTCAGTGATGTTCCTTTTTCCATTTCAAAACATAGAAGGTGAAGTTCATCGTTTTAACTGCTTTATGGTATTCTGTTGTCTGTATTTACATTTGTATGTATATTTGGTGGAGAGGTTGATGGACATGGAGTCCATGAATGGGCATTGTATGCCAAGTTCTTTCTTTTTTTCTTTCTTTTCTTTCTTGCCAAGTTCTTGATGTACTTTTTTTTCTGGACAGTGGATACAAAACTTAGTTACATTCTAAAAGGGTTCATAATCCAAAAGCAGGGCTGTGATTTAAATGGGCCAGTGCTTGACTTGATCACATAATTTCACCTCTTTGTGCTCCAGTCCTTCCATCTGTGTGTTGTTTAATTACTCCTCTCTCCTTCCTAGAAATGTGAAAGCTTTCTAGAAAACAGGCAAAAACAGAAACATAGAGCCAAAACCAACAATTTCACTACGTTTAAACTTAATGATTTCATTTTATGTACCAGCTCCTCATTGGAGCAGGATTAATTGCCAACCTCTACACCTGGGTTTAGTTTAGACAACCCCAAATACCTTCCCAGCTCAGTCTTTAAAAATCGGAGTTTCTTCACAAGGCCTATTTCTTTTCCTCCATAAAGTGTGTCCTCATTTATATTTTCCTCCCTTTGTATCCATCTAAAGTACGACTCTTGAGAAGATACGTATGCTCCATTAAACCCTACAATTTAAAGCCGCTATCTATAAAGTCTAAATTTGTGATTTGAAATCACAAATAAAGTGATTTCTATCTCTAAAGTCTAAATTTGTGATTTGAAAATCTACTCTTTGAATACCAGTGACTTTAATATTAAACTGCCACAGATAAGATCTTTAAGGGGAAAAATACAACTGCCCATTTTGATTTGGGGGGATTTTAGTCCTGAGATCCACACAGAGGCACCAAGACTTGTATGGTCACAGACAAATCACTTCACTTCTCTGAGATCAGTTTCCTCATCTATTAATGGGAGGGAGCTTAAGGGGTTTCCAAATGTAATTCCTTAGCACCCCTGGTGACAGATGAGATGCTTCAGGAGTCTCGTAGATGAGATGTTCTTCTGTTCCATATTCGGAGCTCCTCTGATAACCACTAACCAGCTGGTTGATGATCCCTTCCACTCCTGTATGAGGCTGGACCGCATGAACTACAAGTATAACCATTCATTGATACACAAGGTTTCAATACATAGTGCTGAAAAAGGAAAATGGAAGAAAATAGTGGAGTGGGAGAAGCCAGGGGGAGGAGGGGGAAAGAGACCAGGGAAGATTGAGAAAGGAAGACACAAGTTGGCCAGGCTAGTAATGTGACCCAGGCAGAGGGCTGACTCCTTAGACAGGCCCTATGGGGAGCTTCAGCTGAAAGGTTTACCCAAAGTCAAGACCTTTTCCCTCCAGAGAGGTGGAACTTTCGTGAGGAGTAGCTGTTTCTGTTCCAGTTCATAGGTGACTGCACTGTATAATGGATCCATCTGTACTGCAATGGAAGAGGAGTTCAGACTCTTGGTCTGCTACTAACTAATGGCATGACTTTAGGCAAGTCCTGTGATTCTGTGAGGGTCAATTTCTTTATCTGAAAATGGAAGGAGTAGGACTGGATGATATCTTGAGGTCCTTTCCTGCTTGAAAATGGTATGATTCTTATGAACGCTTGTATATATAGCCAGGTATTCTGGTTTATCCATTGCTAAGTAGAACCCCCTCGACATTTAATGCCATAAAATAACAACCATGGTATTATGCTCACATATTTTGGTGGACAGGAATTCACGCGGGACGCAGTGGGGGTAGTTTGTCTCACAGTCTTGGGTCTCTCTTCTGAGAATGACTCTGTTGGAGGTAACTTGAATGCCTAGGAGTTAGAATCACCTGGATGCTTCACTGACATGTCTGGTCCCTGAGCTAGAATGACTTGAAGTCTGAGCTGAGTACTCCGTCAACCGGAGCACCTATTCGTGGCCTCCCCATGTGACTTGGGTTTCACAAAACATAGCAGCTGGGTTCCCAGAAGGAATGTCTTGAGATTGATCATCCCAATAGTGAGCCTTCCAGAACAGGCAGAAGCTACTTGACCTTCTCAGACCTAGCTCTAGAAGTCACTTAGTGACAATTCTACCGTATTTTGTTGGTTACAAGCAAATCACCAAGGCTAACCTAGATTCGAGGGAAGGGAAAGTAGACTCCAGATCAGTAAGTTCACGTTGCAAAAGAACCATCATTGCTGCCATCTTTGGAAAAGTATGATCTGCCCCAGTCTGCACTCTGGTAATGACGGTTCACATGCCTCCCGAATACATTGCCACGTGCCTCCTGAATACATTGCCTCATCCCTCCCTCGAGATCCCCAAAGTTTCATCCCCAAAGTCTGCATCAATTCAAATTCCAAGATCTTGGTATCTAGTCGGGTCCAATGCTGATGAGGTTTCTCAGTGCCTTTCTCAGGCACAGCCCCTTCACTGAAGTTCCTTGCAGTCTGAAGACTTGTGAACCAAAGAGACGAGTCTTCTAGTCTTAAGATACTTTAAAGGCCTATTATCTATCTGTCTGAAATGGTTCATGAGGCACCATCTTAAATCTTTCTGAGGTCTTAAAAAAAGTATTTAAAATCACATCGTTGGGCTCCTCTTTGCTCTGAGACCGTGTCTTCCTAATCAAACCCTTGATTCGACCTTTGCACTGAGGGCCTTTCTTACTTTGAGGATGCTTTGCTGATTGGAAAGACTGACTTGAGCTCGCTATACTTCTTCTAAATGTTACTGCAAAATTGAACATAGCCATATTTTGTCATCAGTAACTAAAAGAAACCAGTTGACACTTTCAGCTTTCTGTCAGGAAACCTCCTTAGGCAAATCCACTAGTTCACTTAGTATAGTTTCTATTTTTCATGTTACCACAGGTGATGGTGTTGCTAAACATTTTGCTGCAACTTAGCAAAATCATCTTTTTTCCACCTTCCAACAATAATTTTCTCTTTGTCCCCCTAGCTTTCACTGACAGTCTTCTCAAGGTCCATCCAGGTTTCGCTAACTTCTAACGCCATTTGACCTTGAGAAACTGAATATACAAACAGATAATGGCCAGATAATATATAAAAGTGGAACTCTCACCCACAGTCTGCAGCAGCCAGCCCAGGAGACTAACCTATTATCTACAGTAAGCAGCCCAGAAAGCCAACCTACTATAAGACGGACTAGGAAATCAGACAGCAATCTCTAGCAACAATCTAGGAAACAAAACAATAGCTCCTGTAAAAATTGGCCCCAAATGACCAGGACTTAATTAATAACCAACTGCTTCCCTAATTTTTGTCCCTGTTTCCAACTTAGGACCAACCAGAGAAAGCCAAATATTCATTCTAACCAATCAGATAGGATTTCCCACTTCTAGTCAGTCTGCTTATAGTATCCCCATGCCAACAGCCTCCAACCAGGGCATATTTGAAGTCTTCCCCTTTTTTCCACTGTAAAACTGTCCCACTCCTCTGCCTGCCTTTGAGTGTCTGCCAAAACGCAAGTGATGGTGGCTGACTCCCTTGCTATAGCAAGTTTTGAATAGATAGCCTTTGCTTGTTCTCATTTGGTTGGTCTTCCTTTATTTCCACAAGCTTCTCCCTGCTTTCCAGTCAAAAGCTAATGGGTTATGGTTTGGGGTTTTGTTATGGGAGAATCCCATGTCCGGGTACCAAACTCTATTCTCGTTATCTATTGTTGTGTAAAAACCACCCCAAAACTTAGTGGCATAAAACGACAGTCATCTTACTATGCTCACAGATTCTGTGGGTCAGGAATTCCGACAGGGTTAATAAGAATGGCTTGTCTCTGATCCACAACATCTGGGGCCTCGGCTGTGAAAACTTAATGGCTGAGGAAGGACCCACCAGGAGGCTGCCTCATTCACACATCCTGATGCCTGAGCTGAGGTGACTTGAATATTGGGCTCAGGTGGGGATGGCAACCATTGGCTTAGGCTCTTCTCAGCTCTTCACAACCATTGGCTGAGCTCTGTGAGGGAGCGTCCTGAGACGCGCAGCCAGGCAGTGAGTGTTCTGAGAGAGACAGGTGGAAGCTACAAGCCTTTTCTGACCTGCCTTGGAAGTCACATGTGTTGGTTAAGTGAGTCACTCAGCCTGACCTAGATTCAAGGGGAGGGAATCAGGCTCAACTCTTTTTTTTTTTTGCGGTACGCGGACCTCTCACTGCTGTGGCCTCTCCCGTTGCGGAGCACAGGCTCCGGACGCACAGGCTCAGCGGCCCCAGCCGCTCCGCGGCATGTGGGATCCTCCCGGACCGCGGCACGAACCCGTGTCTCCTGCATCGCCAGGCGGACTCTCAACTACTGCGCCACCAGGGAAGCCCCCAGGCTCAACTCTTAAAGGGAGAGTGACAAAGTCCCTCTGCACAAGGACACATGGGATAGGAGATACTGTTGCAGCCATTTTTGGTAACTCTAATTTGCCACTCCAGGCCACACTTTTCCTGGCATCCCTCTACTCCTTCACTCCTACATTACTTATTTTTACTCTGCTTCCTTTCAGAAAGAATTTGAAGACACTCAGAAGATGGGCTGGTGGGCATGGAAACAAAACAAAGGAAGTTGGTTGATGTCAGGTGATAATCTCATACAGGTATTCATTTATTCATTCCATGAGTCTTTTTAAAGCGTTAACAAATGGGTTCCACATTGGAAATACACAGAGGAGATGTGAGATGAGCAAAATGAACACACATCCTGTTCTCATGAAGTTTAAGCCCAGTGGGAGAGGCAGACATTTAAAAATAATTCCACAAGTACATAACCACAGGTGCTCTAAGTTCATAAGCATTATACAGCAATGGCCCAGGAGCTGTGTAAGTGCACAACACAGGAGCTTGGTCCTGTTAGGGAATGAGAGATTTCCCTGGGGGAAAAAAAAAGAATATTTAAACTTATAACTCACAAATGAGAAAAATGTCAGGTAACTAAACTAGGGTGTTGCAAAGCATGTTACATGGACCACTAGTGATACAGAGAGATATAGCATTGGCCAAAAAGTTCACTCGGGTTTTTCATAACATCTTATGGAAAAACCCAAACGAACCTTTTGGCCAAGCCAGTATTATTATTGTCCTTGTTATGTATTTATTTTACAGTTTTGCAATTTATGACAGGTGATATTTGTTTTCCATTGCTGTTGGCAGGTAAAGTTTCCTTGTAAAGTGAAAGTTTTTAAGTTTAACAAAGCTATCAATTTAAGGTAAAATAATATGGTAAGCATTACATCTTGAGTTGGCAAATATCGTGTAGATGATATGTGGAAACTGAAGCTCAGTATAAAGACTGGAGTTGGTATGTTGAGAGATGGCATGGGGAGGGGGATCATGGGTAGTAAAGAGAGCATTCTGGTGCAAAAGCCCTGAGGTGGAAGAGTGAGGGGGGTCCACGAAACAGAAAGGTGACCAATATGGCTTGAGCAGAAAGCAAGAGGAAATAGTTTACAGTGAGCCGGAGAGGCCTGCAGGCCCCTGAGAGTCAGGGACTTTAGTTCAAAACTGAAACTTCCAAAACTCAGCATGGGCAATTGCACTTTTTTCCTTTAAATATTGTACCTGTGGCAGGGTTAGTACAAAATCACTGGCATTTGAATAGTACATTTATAATAGAACAAATTTAGGTGATACAGATATCAAGAATATTAATTGGCAGTATCTGAGAGCTAATGTTTCCTTTGGAAATACTTTGTTCAACATGTTTAACTATCCTACAAGCAATGGGGCGTCATTGAAGAATTTGGGAAAAGGGAGTGATAACCTAGTTTGTGAGGTTTTAAAAAATAGTGTTTACAGTGTAATTCATGCATTAATGAAATTGTCCAGAAGAGCTAATCATAATAATAAGCAACATTCTGCTTTCCAACCTCTTGCCCACCCCAGAGGGAACCACTTTAAGTCTCTTCTGGTTTTATTCTTCTAATAGTTTCCTTCTTATCTCCAAAAAATGCTTACATCTGTGTCTCTTGATTTATCAGATTTGGGCATTATATCAGATATATCATATGTGCTTACTCAGATTTCCTCAACCTTACTTTTCTCCCAGTCTCCCAGCTCACTCCACCCAGGCCATCCCAATGGTCACCAACTAAGTCTGAGCTTCTGTTTCCACTGCAGGAGGGCATCAGGCCACATGCCCAGATCTACTTCCCCAGTGGCTACTACAGGGCCCGAGTGACACAACCTGCATGCGTGGGAGAGTAAACTCTCCAGGCAGCAGATTTTGACCAGTGGAAGAGAGAAGGCAGAGACAGATGGGAGATATGTTTTCTCTTCCTTTTTCCCTCTGATGGATTGTTCTGGGCACAATATTTCCGTCCAGCCTGTCCAAAGAGGTTCTTTGTGACTGAGTGGTCACCTGCTGAGGAACCAGCTCTGGTTATTCATGGCATTTTATGAAGCAATGGCCAGTGCAGTAACTCAGCACCTTGTACTTGCTGCCGGATCTTCTCCGCCCGTCTTCCTCCCTAACTCTCACAGAACTGGGCTTGTACCTCCTAATAAAGCATAAGCCCTTAAGCTTTGCCTCAAGCTCTATTTTCTAGGGAAATCAGGCCAAGATAGATATTGCCAATATTAACTGTTGACTTACAGCTCTGACTTAAGATCGCCACTCGCATCTCTCTCCCATGTTCCTGTAGTCAACTCATTGTTCTTAGTTCTTTTAGTTATGCTTCTAACTTTCGGTTTTGTGCTTATAACTATACTTCTTTTTGCAACCACCAGAGAGAGTATCTCTTGGCTCTGATATTTTGCAGGATGGAGATACTGGCATCCCTTCCTTCTCTGTACTTCTCCTCTTCCTTCCATCCCTAAACCGCTGCATCATACTTTAACATCCTTAAGGTGGACAGCACTTGTATTCTGTTCTGTAATCATGATTGTCTTCTGTTATCTTCCTAAGTGCTGATTCTATATTTGAAAACCAATGCATGTATATACTATGTATAGTATATACAGTGCATATACTATGATGACTGTTCATTGAACAATAAGTTTCCTGAGAGTTTGCTGTGTCTCAGGCACTGTTCTCTAGGCTCTAGGGATAACACAATGAACAAAACAGACAGAAATCCTTGCCCTCTCAGAACTTTCATGTCAGTGGAGGAGACAAACAATTAACAAGGTAAATATATAGAATGTATGGTATGACAGATAATGAAAAGTACTGCGAGGAAAGTAATGCAAGGAAGGAGAATAGGAAGACTCAGGCTGAGGGTTGCAATTTTAGGTGTTCTGAGCAGGGAAGGCCTCACTGAGAAGGTAGCCTCCAGAAAACAAGGCAGCAAAACAAACAACCATCTAGGCAAAGGGAACAGCATTCTAGGCAAAGGGAACAGCATTCTAGGCAAAGGGGACAGAAAGTACAATAGCCCTAAGACATGAATGTGCTTACTGTGTTCGAACAAGAGCAAGGAAGCTCATGTGGCTGGAGCAGACTGACCAAGAGGGAGACTTAGAGAGGAACAAAGAAAGAAGTAATGGGGAGCAGAGAGTGCAGGACTGTGTAAGCCATAGCAAGGACTTTGACTTTTATTATAGGAGAGATGGGAAACCTTGAGAGACTTTTGAGCAATGGAGTGACACAATTTAATATACATTTTAACAGGACCACTCTGGATATTGTGTCGGAAAGAGACTGAAGGGGGCAAGGGAGGAAGCAGGGAAACTAGTTAGGAGATAATTGAAATAATCTAAGCAAGAGATGACAGTGGCTTGAAGTAGGGTTGTTGTAGCAGTGAAGGATAGGAGAAGTGGTCAGAATCTGGATATATTTGGAAGGTAGAACCAACATGATTAGTGAATAGTTGGATGTGAGAGGGAAAAAATAGAGCCAAGAATGACTATAAAGGTTTTGAACTGAGCAACTGGAAGAAAGGAGCTGTCATATACGTAGAAGGGAAGACTGGGAAGAATAGGTTTAAGGGAAAAGATCAGGGACCCAACTTAGGCAGTTTGAGTTGCTGTTTCAGTTCTCTATTACTGCATAACAAATCACCACAAAACTTAGTGGCTTAAAAAAACCAAGAATTAATTAACATGTCTCATGGTTTCTGTTGGTCAGGAATTCAACGGGGGTTAGCCAAACAGTGCTTGTTTAAGGTCTCTCATTGTAATAATCCCAGTTTTAGCACTGAAAGTCTTGTGTCCTGGGAAGCCCCTCCCAAGGATGCGAAAAGTTCTGGGTTTCAGTGATGGGTGAAGAATTGAGGAGTAGGGGTAGTACAACACCCGTACAGTGGCCAAAAATATAAGGACTGAAAGCAGGGCTGTTTTTAGTGTCAAATGGATACTGTCCAGTCGTTACCATCACTCACTGATTTTTCGCCTCACCACTGATGTTGGCAACCACGATTTGCAGTTCACAATAATGGGTCACCCATTGTTGCCTCACTTCCAGTGATGTGAGTTAGGTGTGCAACATAAGTGTGTGTGATCATGGCGTTAACAGTCCAAGTCTGACCTGGCCTATGAATTAACTGTTGTGCTTTGAATTAAGATTATAGAGGCCACCTTGAATAATCAGGATAGATCCCCACCCCGAAATTGGGTTCGGATGTTGTTACTGATGCACACACCAAGAGGCTATGGAAAGATTGAATATTTACACCACTGAGGTCCCTGAGAAGGGCAGGGCAGGCCTCTCAAGCAGGTCCAGAATGCCTTGAGAGAGCTGAGGTAGGAGACATACTGGCTTGGGGTTTTTATTGTGGTGAGGGGATGGGGGGGTGAGGGTTCCCAGTACGAGCAGGGACTTGTGTGGCTTGAATCTCCGCCAGCACCAAAGGAGAGAGCGCTCAGGCTTTCTTAGCAGCTTGCCCAGACGTAGGGCTGTCGGGGAGATGAAGGGATAAGGTCTAAAGCTCTTGGCTATCAAACATCAAAATGGAGCCACTCTCCTATTGCAGAGATAGTGCTAGGTTAATTTTTTTTTTTTGCGGTACGCGGGCCTCTCACTGTTGCGGCCTCTCCCGTTGCGGAGCACAGGCTCTGGACGCGCAGGCTCAGCGGCCATGGCTCACGGGCCCAGCCGCTGCACGGCATGTGGGATCTTCCCGGACCGGGGCACGAACCCGTGTCCCCTGCATCGGCAGGCAGACTCGCAACCAGTGCGCCACCAGGGAAGCCCTAGGTTAATTTCTTTGTTGTTGTTAGTTTCTGCTTTATTACAAAGTGAATCAGTTATACATATACATATGTTCCCATATCTCTTCCCTCTTGCGTCTCCCTCCCTCCCACCCTCCCTTATCTCACCCCTCTAGGTGGTCACAAAGCACCGAGCTGATCTCCCTGTGCTATGTGGCTGCTCCCCATTAGCTATCTATTTTACGTTTGGTAGTGTATATATGTCCATGCCACTCTCTCACTTTGTCACAGCTTACCCTTCCCCCTCCCCATATCCTCAAGTCCATTCTCTAGTAGGTCTGTGTCTTTATTCCTAGGTTAATTTTTAATGTGAATATTGTGACAATGTTTTCTGAAAGTTCAGATCATGAAGATGGGAACTACTGTGATATCACAGGCATGACCCAGATATCACTGAAACAGGAGCCTAAATGGATTGGGTTTTTTGGTTTGTTTTTGCTTTTTAAATTTTGCCCATTCCGTGCAGCCTTTGGGATCCTTGTTCCTGACTAGGGGTGGAACCTGGGCCGCTGTGGTGGAAGTGCCCCTGTGGAGTCTTAACACTGGACGACCAGGAAAGTCCCAGACTGGGGTGTTTTAATGATAGAAGGAAGGACACATACAGCTGGATTAGGGAGGAAAAGAGCCGAACCTGAGCGTGCTGTACAATATGCAGAAAATAGTTTTGTATTGGACATGGCAGAGGAGGAGACTGTGAAGACACATACGGAGAATGAATTTCACAAGTCTGGGATTAGACAGGGAAATACCTCTAAATTAATCAAACGGTTTTGTGGTCTCCCAAAGAAACACCACTGTTCAGTTGAAAATAGTGAGCACAGAATTAATTTGGGCTAACCACACGACCAACACGCATGATTGTATCACTCCCTTTGTGGCGCTGTGGAACTGAGTAGAGTACCATATACTGATTCACAGGTTGGAACTAAAAATGTCCTGTGGGGAAATTTGAGAACAGGTACATCGGCCTCTGTATTAAGTTGCTAGGGCTGCCACAGCAATGTAGTGCAAACCAGGTGGTTTAAAACAAACAAGCAAAAAATTAATCCTTACAGTTCTGGAGACTAGAAGTCCAAAATCAAGCTGTTAGCAGGGCCATGCTGCCTCTGAGGTTCTAGGGAAGAATCTGTTTTGAGCCTCTCTCCTAGTTTCTGGCGGCTCTGGCACTCCTTGGGACCCCTTGGCTTCTAGGTTCATCACTCCAGTTTCTGCCCCCATCTCCCTGTGGCCATGTTCCCTGTGTGTGTGTGTGTGTGTGTGTGTGTGTATGCGTGTGCAAATTTCCTTCTTACAAGAACACCAGTCATATTGGATTGAGGGCCCACCTTATTCCAGTATGACCTCCTTTTAACTTGACCCTATTTCCAAATAAGGTCACATTCACAGGTTCCAGGTGGACATGACTTCTGGGGGGACACTGTTCAATCCAGTACAGCCCCTTATGGTGCAGAACTCATTCTGTCAAATCTTACCTATGATCATGCTTTCTACAATATATAGAAATGAGTCAAATAACAGCAACAAAAAAATGTGTACCCACTCTTAGGTATTTTAATTTGAAAATGGAGTTTCAAATCATTTTCTTGATTTTTATGAAGATTTTAATAAAACTGTAGAAAACACAAAATATCTTGTTGATATCTTGTCCAAATAAAAGCTAGAGTTTATCTGTCTGCAGATTCAGCAGAGAGTGCAAATGTAAATCTTGGCAAGTTCTATTCAGTCTATAAACTTCTATAATATGGACTTGATAATAGCAGAGCTGCAAGTCAAAAAAAATTTACATTTGACTGTATTCAGTTTTACCACTACATAAAAGGAAAAATGGATGTCTTAAAGGGGGTAGGCAGTTCATAGAAATATTACTGGAAAAGAAAATAGAAAGATTAAGAATAACCTACTATAGGACTTCCCCGGTGATGCAGTGGTTAAGAATCTGCCTGCCAATGCAGGGGACACAGGTTCGAGCCCTGGTCTGGGAAGATACCACATGGCACAGAGCAGCTAAGCCCATGTGCCGCAACTACTGGAGCCCGCGCGCCTAGAGCCCGTGCTCCACAAGAGAAGCCCCCGCAATGAGAAGCCCGCGCACCGCAACGAAGAGTAGCCCCCACTCACCACAACTAGAGAAAAGCCAGTGCACAGCAACGAAGGCCCAACACAGCCAAAAATAAATAAATAAATTTATAAAAATAAATAAACAAAAATAAAAAAATAAAATAACCTACTACATCATGAAACAGAAGAAAACATGTCATTGTTATTTTTTATTAAATACAGATAATATCTGTTTAATTAGTACTTTGTATTTATATTCTCCTTTTAAAATATGTTTATAGATCTTAAGAATATACAATAACATAGCCTACAAA